TTTGCTGCTATGGGAAGTACAATTAGTGGTGTTACCCGTGTTTTATACGGTTTGTCATATTCTATCCTCGTTATAAAATACTTTAGTTCTATTTTACTTATATTTTATTTGATAATTAGATTTAGTAGAAAGAAAGCAACAATATTGGCAGGAATTATATCAGGAGGCACTGGAAATTAATAATCAGTGTAATGGAAACGAGCTTACAGTTGATGATATTGCCAGAATGGTGAAATTAGATAGTTTTGTTAAAGAAACTTTTAGATTTTCTAGTGCCATAATTGGTTTGACGCACAAATGTATTTCTAAATCTTATTATACATTTGCGAATGGATACCAAGTTCCAAGAGGTAATCTTTTCTTTTTTTAATTGTTATATTCTGATTTTAAGCTATAACAATTCTCATGCCTTTTTCTATTTGCTTAAAATAATAGGTCGCATAGTCAGTTTAAACATCAAGGACACAAGTAATGACGAAGAACTTCAAGGTCAAAATCCCACAGAATTTTATGCATATCGTCACAACTCTCCTGTGACAAAACTCGACCGTAATTTTTTGACATTTGGAGGTGGAAAACATGCTTGTCCAGGTAGATCTTTAGCTGTTAATGAGGTTAAAGTATTTTTACATAAAGTTATGCTAAAATATGACGTTAGAATTGATAATGAGATTGGACTTAAAAGAAAATATATGGGGCCTATGCTTGTGCCGTTAAGAGTTGGTTTGTTATTTGAGAATAGAAAGGAGAAATAGAAAAATAAATTTTAATGTTTTTCTTAAAGTTTTCTTCTTTTTTTTTCCTACTCTGGTTAAATATTCAATCTAATTATAATTCTATATATTTACGCTATAATTAATTTGACTATGTGGTTGGTTTAATTATTTTATCTATTGCGGTTTTCAAATTACTGACTTATAATAAAAAGAAAAAAAAAAATAACTTAATATTTATGAATGAATCTAACAAATTTGTTAAAATTCTAAAGTTTCATCATTATATTTCAGTTTTTATAGTATTATCTCTCATAGCACCGATAGTTTGGCAAAAGTTCTTTTTTGTTAGTAGGAATTCGATATTTACTAAATTAACTGCCAATTCTAATATGTTATTACGTAGGGATAATACTGTAAAATATCGCACTCTATTAGCTAGTCTTAACAATGAATTTGTTAGGTGCAAGGTGTATAAATTAAAAACGGTATAAATATTTTAATAATTAGAAACACAAAAATAGCTAGTCTTGAATTTTTATAATGGGTTGCTAATTTTTTTAAACACAGAATTAAGATCCTTAATTCAATTCAAATTAGCGAATTTTTATAGTGTAGTAAATATAAATTATATTATAACACATTATAAAAGGATGTACTGTAATTACAAAATTATGTATAAGAATTTAGTTTTTTTTGATTTTTATATAAAGTCTAATTCAGCTTTTTTCATATTAGTGTTAATATTTAGACGTTAGACTTAAGGTTTGGGAAGGATTTTTAGAGGCAACGCGCTAGTGTTGAGAGTATGTATATATAGATGTAAAGGCGCGGCACGTTTTAGTAAATGTGATACGATTTCTCCAAATACACACTCAAACATTGGCCCAAATACATATAAACTCAGTTTCAAGGAATGTACTTTTTCTTATTGTTTTTTTTAAATACGTAACGACAATTAGTCCAAATGAAGTACTATGTACAGTACAGTTGCACTGTACTGTACATACTAATTTGGTACGTACAGTACGTACGTGCGTAAACAAACACTGTATGCAGGTTGTAAATACATTGAATATTATAAGGTCCCTATATTTTGTGAATGAAAAATTTAAATATCATAAAACTCAAAAATAAGCAACACATCCTCTACCCTCCTTTTTCTACGTATCAGATTAGTAGAAATAGCAATATACAATAAAATCTTTACACAAATTATTCCCAATAATCTGATTGAAAAAAGTAAAAATTCTGCATAAATATGCTCTATAAAAAAACAACAACTTTATTTTATACAGGAAAGATATTTTATTTTTGTACTGATAACAATGTATGCATACCGAATTTTAAAACTGGGTAGAGGGTGTAGTGTTATATTTTGAGTTTTACTGTACCAGGTATAATTGAAAACTTTACAATAATTAAGGAAAGTCCGCCATTTATGGTAGGTACTAGTAAATACAATTGCCTCTGATTAATAAATCATAAAATGACACAAAAGTACTTTCATTTTTCTAATATTTAATGTTCTTTGTATGATACGTAAAAGTTCTAAATAATAAAGTAATAAAACCCAAGATGAAATTATTTAGCCTTACTTATAATATTATAGCACAACGTCTATTTTTGATGTCTCTTTATGCTCTTATAGCATCAACAAAATCTCAGTTTACTTTTTTTAACTATACAGAAGCAAATTTAACAACTACAGCACTTGGTCATCAACCTTTTGTAGTAAACCTTCAAACTTATGATGATGGAACAGTTCTCGCCCTCGTTACACAATTAGACAATACATTAGACGCAAATTGTCAGAGTTCCTTAAGAAGAAAGAATGTTTTTGGATTAGAACAGATACTACGTATAAGAGTTATTCAATTAGATGGATCTGTTAAAGAGATTAATCTCAACGATGCTGACTTAAAATTAGATCCTCTGAATTATTGTATGACTGGCACCTTTATTCCTATTCAAATATATGCTTTACAAAAACAGTTTATTCTGGTAACTTATGTGAATAGTACAAATTCATTTGATCCTACAACTTATGAAGATTGGGGAGTGGTTATTGATTGGAATAGCAAAGTTCTAAGGTATGACTGTGATTAACTTGTAAATTTAATTTATTTTGACAAATATTAATTTTAATCTATATTTTAGTAAAACTTTTTTTGGTTCGTCTTTTGTTCAAAATAATTATTGGAGTCCGAATGACCAAACAATTAAATTAAACATAAATAAGAAATTAGGATATCTTAGATTAAATTTAGCAGACAAAAGTAATATTTTTTCGCAACAATATTCAATGTAATTTAATCTTCTTAACATTATCAGTCTCATCGTTTTTTTTTAAAAAATTATTTATTATAATAATTATAATAATAATTTTTCTTTGTAATTATATAGTGATGATTCTGGAAAATTATCAATGCTGCAAAATTTTAGTTTTCCACTACAAAAAACCCAAGGTGGAAACCTTACAAGCTTTACTTTCACGGCAATGGCCACTATCGATGGCGGCTATGCTTTAATCTATGCTAATTCTGCCAATGTAATTGACAACAATCCATTCTTCATACGTGGCTCGGTATACGCTAATTTCATACCATATAACAATACATTTCAAGATAGAACAATTCTTCTCTATACATTAACCAATAATGTAACTTTTAATGGAATTTATTGTGACATAGTTTCTGTTGGTGTTGGTCATGTTTGCGTAGTTTCTTCCAATAGCACCATAGTAAATAACAGCACAACAGAATATATAAAAATTTACTTCTTAACGTCTGGATCAGTGTAAAAGTAGATGCATTATCCGACCTCCCTAATGTCACTACTATAGCTTCAACAAATTGGGCGGTGAACTCGATGCCATTCGGTGGCTACATATTACATACTTATGATAGCAATGGCACTTTATATATCTATCCTTTTGACGAATATAATAACCCTCTAGAACGTTTGGTATCAACACTATCACAAAACCAAACTATAAATTATGTATACGGTGCAAATGCTATCATGAGCAATAATAATACTTTTCTACTTCCAACAAGCAACACAAATCATAACAGAAATTCTTGGTCTTTAATTAATATCCCACTGCCTGAAGATTTTAGAGGTATGTGTTTATTTTTACATAAAATCCATCTTTATAAAATATTTAATATTTTATGATGCTAAAAACATCTTTCTATTTAGATGGCGGTTATGGTAATCTTAAAATAGTCAAAATTCTCCCACCTATCCATAGTGTTGTCGATTCATCAACAACAACCTTAAGTATTACCTTTTATGACACTATTGTTTTATCAACTGGTGCTATCACCATCTATAAAACTTCTGATAATACCATTAGGCAAAAAATTTTGACAACAATGACCGATTTCTGTAGCATCATAAATAATAAGACTGTCAACATAACGATCATTGGCAGCACATTTAATCAATACAATCAATCATATTACGTACAAATGGACGCTGATTTTGTCAGAAATAGTGTTTACAATGAACCCTTAAAAGGAATTGATGAAGGGATTGTAATCTACACTCGTTATGTTAATCCTCATGATCACCCTAAACAAAAAGAATAAAATTACAGCACATGTTCATATACATATATACGAATACTGTATATGTTATTGATTACCAATAGATTAATTGGCATGAAAATCTTATTCAATAATATTCGTAATTTTGTCATATTTTGTCTCACAATTTTATATAAATGACCCTTTTTCATAAAATAAGAATAAAATAATTATAACCATGAAAAACGAAAAATCCACATCTCGTAAAAAAGAATTCGAAGCATATCCTTCTATTAGCACTAGATCATATTTTTTCCCGATCAGTGTATTGATTTTCATAATAATCTATAAACTTTTAACTTTTGGTCCTTTTGCGCCACTACCATGTCGATTATTAAGAATAGGATGTCTTGATATGAAGGTGCAAGGATATGTAGCACCAGAATTTATTGATGCAAAGAAAGCATATGTAAAATATTTTGAAAATGGTGGTGAAGTTGGATCGAGTGTCGCAGCTTATTATAATGGTAAGCTAGTGGTGGATTTACAAGGTGGATATGCTGATCTTGAGGCAAAGCGTGAATATGATGAGAATACTATGCAATTTGTTTTTTCTTCCACTAAAATTATGGTATAAATAATCACTTTTTTTAAATATAATTAAATTCGTCTTCTTTTGCTTATTATAAATTTTTTATTTTCTATTTATTTATTTATTTATCTTATTTAATTTTTTTTTTTTTAGACTTTAATCATGATAGCATATCTAGTAGATCGAGGGTTTCTTGATTATAACGAAAAAGTATCCACATATTGGCCAGAATTTGCTCAAGGTAATAAAGAAAATGTTACACTTTTTGATTTAATAAATCATCGGGGTGGTGTAAACTTTCTTGATACACAATTGACAAAATCCGATTTAGAAGATCTTGATAAATTAGCGAAAATTCTTGCTGTTCAACCACATGTATTTGATGGAGTTCCTGTTCGTGCATATCATGCAGTAACTCTTGGATGGTATTTAAACGAGATTGTTCGTAGAGTAGATCCAAAACATCGTACTATTGGACAAATTATCACTGAAGAAATTTCAACACAATATGATTTAGAATTTTATTTATCATTACCACCAAATATTTTACCAAGAGTTGCAAATGTTTATACTGCACCTATTACTGGGAATTTTATGTGGATGCGTAACCTTTTATCAGATTTGTGGAATAAGAAGATATCAATTTCTTTTATTTTGAATTTATTAGATCGAGATGATTTAATGATTAAAACTTTTAATCATACGTTTCCTGGTCTTCCTAATATTTTTGAACTTGGAGAAGTTACAAAGTTTGAAGCATTCAAATTTGAAGGTCCAAGTGTAATTGGATTCACCAACGCAAAATCAATCGCTAAATTAGGTGCTATTATTACGAATAATGGACAACTTCTTAATGATAATAATAATTATAGACCTCTTCTTTCAAAAAACACTATCGATCTCATGTCTACTAAATTACCAATAGCTTGGGATTATATTTTTAAAGGGAATGTTACTTATTCAATTGGTGGATTTCCATATATTAGATTTCCTGGTATTGAAGATGTAGAATTCTTAGGATTGGGAGGAATTGGTGGAAGCATATTCATATGGAATCAAGAACTAGGAATCTCATTTGGTTATGCCATGAATGCTATATGGCCTCCTAGGATATTTGACATTGGGGATGAAAGAGGATGGGGTGTGTTAAAAGAAATTGTAAATGTTGTCAAGAAATTGAAAAAAGAGCAATCTGAAAGCTCATTTACAAAGAAGTAACTAATAATGTTATGTAACAAATTATTAAAAAGAGTTGCTTTTAAACAATATAAACCTACTTTAGATTGTGATTAATATATCCTTTATAGTTTTATTATGCATATTTATTTGGTAGAAAAGTAAAAATTGGTGTAAATTTTAATATTTTGATTAATGTGGTAATGATAAAATTAGGAATATTTTTAACTTGTGGATAACCAGTATGCTATATCTCGAAAATGTACTAAGTAAATATGGTTGTGATTCTATGTAAAAATGTTCAGGATCACTGAAAATCTTATGAAATCAAGGCCTTATATCTATTCTATATTATGTTATATAAAAATCTCTATTTTATCTTAAAGCTGCATCCTAACCAGTGATGCCGAGATAATGTTTTTTATCACATGGTAAAATTGATAGAACTGATTTTAATATATAGAACGATAAACTAGTTATAACTACAGTTAAATATATTAGTAACAATAATATTTGATATGTTGGGATTTTTTTCACTTGTTCACATACGGAACAAGATATTATTCATTAATTCCAGGGTTAAATAAAATAATTAAACTACTGCTGTTATCAAATTATGTAAAAGTAAACATTAAAACAAATAGTTTAATAATTCTTCAATTATTTTAATATTCCAAATAGTGTTGATAATTCAATGACTAGCGACTGTTCAGTTTCTTCTATTAATAAAAAAAAAACTATTCTGGTGGTTGGCCTCATACAAAAATATGGATATGACAAACTATTCCAGTTGATTTATCTTTGGAAGCTAATATATTTAATACAAATAATATATTCGATGATGAAGAGTCTTCTATTATGAATAAGAATACGCCTATTTCTTTTTTTATAATTTCAATAACACAGAATCATATTATGAAAAGTCTAAACCACAATCTAAACCAACATCAAGCGAAGGTCGTAGAAATTCAGACTTCGAAGCTTCGAATATTGTTGACGAGATCTTTGGGAGGGATTAATAATAATAATAATTAGTAATAATAATTAGCTTTTAAAAAAACTATACAATAAAATGCTAAATCATACTAATTAAATATAATATATATAGTCCGGAGCCTAAAATTTTAAACTATTTTCTATTATTGTTTTTACTTTGAATTTCAAAATACTATTTTATGAGTTACTTATCTTATAATTTAATTTATGTGCATTTTCTTCACAATTCGAGCCCAGTTGGACCAAACGCAAGAGACCTATAAAAAAATATAGTTTAATAAATTAATAATTCAAAATGTCACAATTATGTAATAAAATCATTAAATAACATAGTCCCGATTATTAGAATTAGTTTGATCAAATAATCATAATTAATTGTGACGAACAAAAAAAGGTTTGAATATCTTGCACGCATTTACAGTTATGAATTTCATCCTTTCTTAATAACAATTTTCCAGGTATTATTATACATAATAACATTAAGTATTTTGTACGTACACATTGACAAAAGGTTAGATTCATAGAGGGCATATTTAGAGAGGTCTGACTGTAAATATAATCCAACCTCTATAATTGGTATATCTCTTCTAAATGCATAATTATTTATTTGTGACTGGTTTATTTTTTCTATTGTCAACCAAAAACATTTAACTTAAAAAATCTGATTACACAGAACAGTTCTCACCTTTCTAAGTGTAAATACTTGCCTGTCTCCAGTATCTGCATTTAGAAATGTATCATACACTGTAAATAGATAGACTAATAACTATGATACAGTCAAATCTCTTTATAGTCAACTCATGTGATACAAAAAGTGTGATTATAGAGAAGTATGCTGCTAATTATAGAGGTCAAATTTATCATATTCAACAATAGATAATCTTAAAAAATGTCGCGGATAATGGTGAAATCGGATGATTGTGAAATCCACGTGACCCGGGACCCAGGCCTCATCATCACGTGACACATACGATATTCCTAAAAATCCCGAATTTATAAGCGTCATATATATAATTTACATATTGCGAAACCCTATAGCTTTA